TAGATAATGATCGATTTTGCAGGGTATATATATATATATTTTCCCCGTAAAGCTGATCAGGTTTGAATATGCAAACAGGAAGGCTGTCCAAATTCACATTTTTCCTAAATACGTTTGCAGCAGTTTAGCACTGTCAGATCTGCAAGATTGTGATGCCAAAATTTGATAGAAAAAAAAAGCATTGAATTGTAACAGTGTGCCGGTAATGGTGGAAGTGACGACAATGATTATGCTACCGCCCGCTCATATCAATATGAATGAGTTGATGTTTTCCAAAAATACAGCACCATATCTGATGTCTGAATAGGCTGAAAAACTCTTTTTTTGGAAAGAAGAACCCAACATTTAAGGTTATTTAATGCCACTTTTTGGGCGGTGAGTATGTTTTAGGGAGCAGCGTGCAACAGAAATTAGCAGTGTAGTCCATTGCAGGTTTAATCAGAAGTAAATTCTACAGTTAGTTCTCGACTTACAAACACAATTGAGACCAAAATTTATGTTGCTAAGAGAGACAGTTGTTAAGTGAGCTTTGCTCCATTTTATGTCCTTTCTGACCACAGTTGTTAAATGAATCACTTCAGTTGTTAAGTTAGCAACATGGTTGTTAAGTAAATTTGGCTTCCTCATTGACTTTGCTGGTCAGAAGTTTGCAAAAAAAGTGATCACATGATCTCAGGACACTGCAACCGTCACAAATACATGCCTGTTGCCAAGCATCTCAATTCTGATCACATGACAATGGGATGTTTCAACAATTGTTAAGTGTTGAAAAACGGTCACAAGTCCCTTTTTTCAGTGCCAGTGTAACTTCAAACAGTCACTAACTGAACCGTTGTAAGTTGAAGGCTACCTGTCTTGACCTCAAGAGGATTTACTCCCAAGGAAAGAAAATGGGAATCAGCTAAAAGTGATCTCATGTGGAGATCTCTATTTTCCACCTCCAACTGTTGCAGTGGATCTATGACATTGATAGAATGAAAGTACCAGAGAGAGATGAATCTATCATTAAAGACTGAAGACAAAAGATACGTAAGGCCATTCAAGCCCTTGATCATTCCATGGCTGTACAGTTAGTCTTTAGCAGATTTAACAGATTAGCAGAGTTGGAAGAGATCTTGGAGGCCATCTAGTCCAAACCCCTGTCCAAGCAGGAGACCCTACACCATTTCTAACAGGTGGGAGTCCAGTCTCTTCTTGAAAACCTCCAGTGATGAAACTCCCACAACTTCCGAAGGCAACTTCTGTTCCATGGGTTGATTGCTCTCACTGTCAGAAAATTTCTCCTTGTTTGCAGGTTGAATCTCTCCGTGATCAGTCTCCATCCTTTATTCCTTATCTGGCCTTCGGGTGCTTTGGGAAATAGCTTGACCCCCTCCTCTCTGTGGCAGCCCCTCAAATATTGGAACACTGCTATCCTGTCTTCCTTGCTCCTTGTCTTCACTAGACTAAGCATGCCCAGTTCCTACAATCATTCATCATATGTTTTAGTGTCCAGTCCCCTAAGCATCTTGGTTGCTTTTCGCTGTACTAGAGTCTCAACATCTTTTTTATAATGTGGTGAACAAAACTGGATGCAGTACTCTAGGTGTGACTTACTAAGGCTGTATAGAGTGGTATTAGTACCTCATTTGATCTCGATTGTATCCCTCTGTTAATGCAACTTAGGATTGCATTGGCTTTTTTGCCGCTGCACACTGCTGGCTCCTATTTAACTGGTTGTCCACTAAGACTCCAAGATCCCTCTCCCAGTTACTGCTATTGAGCCTGGTTTCACCCAGTCTATATGGCTCCTTTTGGTTTTTCTTGCCTAAGTGTAGGACTTTGCTTTTCTCTATATTGAATTTCATTTTATTAGATATCACCCAGTGTTCTAGGCTGTCAAGATCCATCTGGTTCTTGAGCCTATCTTCTTGGGTGTTAGCTATTCCTGCCAGCTTAGTAACATCTGCAAATTTGGTAAGTTCCCCTTCACAGCTGATCCCAAAATTTCTGTTGCTTAGTAAGGCAGCTGTTAAGTGAACTCTGCTCCATCTTATGACATTTCTTGCCAGAGTCGTTAAGTGAATCACTGCAGTTTTTAAGTTGTTAAATGAATTTGGCTTCCCTGTTGACTTTAGCTGTCAGAAGGTCCTAAAAGGGGGATCATATGACCGCATGGGATGCTGCAACCGTCATAAATATGCAACAAAACTTCATTTTAATTTTTGCCAATTTGTGTACATTCAAAATGACAATAAAATCTAAGTCTAAGTTTAAATATGGACCAGTTGCCAAGCACCTGAATTTTGATCACGTGACCATGGGGATGCTGCAACAATCATGTGAGAAATGGCCATAAGCTACTTTTTCCAGTGCTGTTGCAACTTTGAACGGTCACTAAATGAACTGTTGTATGTCGAGGAGTACCTGCATTTGCCATCTTGGGCTGTTAAAACAAAGAGCAGCAGCAGCAACAAATGCTGGTTCTCTTGGCAGTTTAATCTTCTAGTAGAGAGGATGTTTTTCACGTCTGCTCTTGGGTTTCACACAATCTAAGGGAAAGTGGAATGGAATAACAGAATAACAGAGTTGGAAGGGACCTTGGAGGACTTCTAATCCATCCCCCTGCTTAGGCAGGAAACACTACGCCATTTCAGACAAGTAGTTATTCAATCTTTTCTTAAAAGCTTCCAGTGTTGAAGCATCCACAACTTCTGGAAGCAAGAGTAGAGTAGAGTAGAGTAGAGTAGAGTAGAGTAGAGTAGAGTAGAGTAGAGTAGAGTAGAGTAGAATAGAATAGAATATAGAGAATAGAATAGAATGGAATGGAATGGAACGGAACGGAACGGAACAGAACAGAACAGAACAGAACAGAACAGAACAGAATAGAATAGAATAGAATAGAATAGAATGACAGAGTTGGAAGGGACCTTGGAGGTCTTCTAGTCCAACCCCCTGCCTAGGCAGGAAACTCTAGACCACTTCAGACAAATGGTTATCCAACATCTTTTTAAAAACCTTCCAGTGTTGGAGTATCCACAACTTCTGGAGGCAAGTTGTTCCACTGATTAATTGTTCTAACTGTCAGGAAATTTCTCCTTGTTTCTAAGTTGCTTCTCTCCTTGATTAGTTTCCATCCACTGCTTCTTGCCCTGCCCTCAGGGGCTTTGGAGAATAGCTTGACTCCCTCTTCTTTGTGGCAGCCCCTGAACTTGTTCTTCAGGGGGGAATTAGCTGAAGAAGGCAAGCAAGAAAAAATGCTGATGCTTTTCCTTATTGATGTAACTAAGCTGCATTTCATCAGAGGCCTCAAACGATCTTAAAGTTGATCGGACTTTGTTTTCTTTCCACATATTTGAAACCCCAGGCAGGAAGTCCTAAGATGAGAATTTTATTGAGCTCCTGTTTTCAAAACGTGACTTAATATGTCATACGTTTAAGCTTGGATTATGGAGGGGGTGGGTGGGAAATGTAAACCGCCCAAAGCTGTCTCACGAACAGCAAACAAAAATTGAATTTGGATGACCCAACACTCGAGAGTCTTGTCATTGTACTGCCTAAGAAGTTAAACTTCCTGGAACAAAGGTTGGAGCTGAGACAATCTGTTCTAACTGGAAAACTAGTTGGATCAGTTTTTCTCAACTGTTGCCGTGTGGATGCAATGGGTTGGAATAAGAGGAAAATTTATTTATGACACATCTGAATGTGCAATTCTCTAATTTCATATTTGGGAACCGACGCATAAAGTGTAAGCTTGTTAGCATTCAAAATGTACGGCTTTCTGAGTTTTATCATGAGGTTTGTTAACAATTTTTATTTGTTGCTCATATAATCTTTCAATACCCAATGCTTTAATATTTTTACCCTTCTAATTGTTTTACATTGTCATTTATGCATTGTAAGCCATTCAGAATTGCAGCCTATCAATTAAACATAAAGTATATGACAAAAGTGTATGAAATGTCAATGTACACTATGGAAAAGTCTGAAGGAGGAAGAACTCCTTCCATTCCTGAGAAAATATAAAAAGGGGAATGTTAAAACAATGACAGGTAGCCCTCGACTTAAGACCACAACTGAGTCCAAAATTGCTGTTGCTAAGTGAGATATTTCTTCTAAGCGAGACAGTTTTGCCCCATTTTACAGCCTTTATTGCCACAATCGTTAAGTGAATCATTGCAGTTGTTAAGTTAGTAACATCGTTGCTAAGTTAGTAACATGGTTGCTTAGTGATAATCATAGGTTACTAATAAGCAATCAAATCATACTAGGAAACAAATAAAACAATATAAATTGCAAAGATACAGCAACATGGTTATAGTCATAAGTGGGAAGAGAAGAATAATAGTAATAGAGTCTTAGTAAATAAGTTAACCATGTTGTGGGAATTTGTTGTTTAGCAGAGGGATGGCATTCAGGGAAAAACTGTTCTTGTGTCTGGTTGTTCCGGCGTGCAATGCCCTATAGTGTCGTTTTGAGGGTAGAAGTTGAAACAGTTTATATCCAAGATGTGAGGTGTCTGTAGATGTTTAAGAAAACAAGACTTCAGCAGTAAAGGCAATTTATGAAGAGGAATGCAATTCCACAAGAGTGTTGGGTGAACAAAAATTCGTTTTTATCTCTGTAGCAAGAAGAGTGAAGGTTGGAGAACATAAGCCACTGACATGCCATGTTGGAGAAAAGAGTGACAGTGAGGAATGGCCTTGGGTCCAGAAGAGGAGAGCCACAGCTGAGAAGCCGCTGGAAGGGTAGACAAGTGTGTCTGTTTCCAAGACACGGCTAATTAATCTGCGATAACATGGTCTTAATAGATTGCATTGAGCCAACATAATTGTCCCCAAGGGATCATATTAAGAAGTTATCCGATTAAAATATGAGAGGAAGCCTTGAAAAAGGTAGATCCTGTTGGTGGTGGTGGAGAGAACTGTAAGATGTGATTAATCTTGACATGCTCAATGCACTCATCCGTGGTGACCAGCATTCTCCAGTCTGGGGTTTGTTTGTTTGTTTTTGTTTCCCCCCCAGAAGATGGATGATGAGTTATTAGACTTACATTCTGTTTTCCTCTGAGAGTTCAAGGAAACTTGCAGGGGAATTTCACTTAAATTCCTTATTACAATGATCTTGTGAAATAGACAGTTTGTTCCAGACACGATGAAGTCAACCAAAACGGACTTGGGAGGTGAAAGGCAGGCTCCATCCAACAGCTGGTCTGTCTGGACAGAAACTGGATGGAAATCTGGAATGGAGTGGCCTATAAATGTAATAATGAAATAAAACCAAGTTAGCCTTGCCAGATAAAGAATTCTATTCTATCAGAGGAACTGAGATAGAGAATGCAACTGAAGGATTGTGAATATGGGGAAGGGCTTTCAGTGAATTTTAAATTTGAACATCTATGCCCTGAATTTTACAATGAGTTTATGTAAGCTCAACTATTTATTATGCCTAAAAAACAGCTCTAGAGAGGTAGACTGCTTCATGTGGCCTATGAGATAATGAGGTAGGTAGGTGGATAGATAGATAGATAGATAGATAGATAGATAGATAGATAGATAGATAGATAG